CCCCCCCCCCCACACACACACACACACACACACACACACACACACACACACACACACACAAACACCCTCTACTTTCTTCCTCTGACAGTCAGGAGTGAACGTCCTGGGACACTGTGGGCTACTGCACCTTCTGAAAGAAGAGAGGACAAGAATCCTCCATGCTGAGTCTCTTGCCTAGTGGGTACCTGAGGCATCTGGAGGGTTAAAGCAACGTAAACAGAAATATTTGTGCTGTCCTTTGGATGATGAGATGAGAGCACTGACTCACCATCAGAATGCCATGCTAATTTTTTAAAAAGTGCACTTTGTTCTTCCAACCCTCCAATTTCTGAAGTTAGGATGTGGCTGGTCAAGGCACGTGGAGTACCGTGTGGCCAGAAGGATGGAAAAGGGACCAACCCAAGATCCCAATGGGCCAGAATGGGATTTTGGTGGACTCTAATTTGAGTGCTAACCTTTCTGTGTACTGTTCCTTCCAATGTGGCTAGTCAAACGTCAGGTTTCACTCTATTCACTCTTGTTAGTGTGTTGCTAAGTGCCTATTTATCTTCAGAGAGGCCTAAGGCTCTTCTTGAGCAGAGGATGGGTCTTCCATTTCTCTGGTGTTTCACCTTTTGCCCTTTAGTCATGTAGGGCTCTGCTTGGTGGATGCCTAATTGACTCTGAGCTGCTGAAATCAGCTTTAGGACCCTTGCAGAAGAGATGCATATACTTTGGGATAATTTCTGGTCTTGTAGCGTAGCCAGAAAGTCCAAACAAATAGATTTCAACAGATGAACTGTTCTACAATTTCAGCTGTATTTCTTGGCTACATCAAGAAAAATTACAGTAGGGTAGATGTAGGTGCAAAGATGAAAAGCTACTAGTTCCTACAGTGTTCTACCCGGTCTTAAATGAATTTTGTCTGATTTGCTGATTTAGTGACAGGCTGGTTTATATTTAGAGTTCTGTGGGATGCCAGCTAGGTAGGTAAGGATGCAGTAAGCAGCAGAGGCCACAACTGTTTTAACTTTTCACTGCCAAATTGGCAACAGAAGATTTAAAAAGGGCCTAAGAACTTTCAGAGTACTGAAATCTCTGGCGTTTATGGACAAGAACCAAATACCACTTTTTATCTGGGTTTATGTCAAGGGCATTTCATTAGGCTTTTAGAAAAGTATATTTTTCTAAGAACTACCTACTGATGTTTAAATAATGTGCAGAACAAAAATGATCAAATTGCTGGAGCTCAGAGAAAGAAAATGCCATGAAAGGAAAAGGCTTGCTCCTTTGGGACTAGATTTGTTATAACTGGGCTGAATATTTTCAGAAACAGCTCCTGGGAATTTTTCACTGCAGTTATCATGAATCAGGAGAACATGTGGTGTAGCATTCTCAAATCCAAGGGAGGCAGACTAAAACACACTCAATAAGATCCTCCCTTTTATACCAAGAGGGCCTCAAAGCTCAAAAAAATATATTTCCTAATAACAATTACACTTTATTTTTTACTTGCTTAATCTTAACCCGAGGACCAAGACAGGAGGTCAGTAGTGCTTGAACTAGAATGTATTCTTTACTAATTGATATGTCACTTAGGAGATATATATCGCTTTTTCAATTTAGCAGCCAGAGTTGAGTTTCCTATCAACTGCACTATTCCATGGGTGGGAAAAGACTGCAGAACTAAAGTGGATACAAGTCCTTGGGACCGTGCATCCAGACGACCGTAAGAGGTGTATTAGCTTTGAAGTGTAATGTGGGACATCTAAATGGCCATTGGCTGGAGCCAGAGAAGCCATCAAGTCTCATGGGACAGTGTAGCTGAAGGTATATCAAATCATTGTACGAAGCTGAGTCCCAGCCGTATTTACACAATTAGATCGAGCAAGCTAGTTCTGAGTCCCGGGGGCTCTCATACACTCACATAATAATTATAGTCACTCCCAGGGACTGGATTACTTGTAAAGCACTGAGCACAGTGCTAGGCATGTATGTGTGTGCTCAGAATAAAATGATAGTGCGTCTGCCACTATGTTAAGCTCTTTAAAAGCTATATCTCAGTGAGCACAACTCCTCCATGAGGTAGGTATTGTGATATATGTTGTACAGAGGGAACAGAGGCTCAGAGAAGTCTAGTAGTTTGTCAGAGATTATGCTGCTAAGATTTGATGGAACTCATATTTGAAATCAGTCTATTCGAGTCCAGGGCCTAAGCTTCAGACTACTATAGTGAAGTGATCCTGCCAATCAAGGGCTATTCTCTTTACATTAAAAAGATTACTGAGAATTTCCCATGTATTTAGGTAGATCCTTAAAGCTGGGGGACCACATGCCACAGAAATGATATCTGAAATTAAATTATATCTTGCTGAATTCCACAATGGATTTGAATCCGCTGTTCTAAAACCATAAGGCTGTAGAAGGTTTCCTCTCTGGTTTTGCTTCTTTTGTTTTCTTTAATAACACATGCTTTTGCTTTCACTCCTTAAGGTACACACTTTGATCTTTTGGGCCCTGAATACAGCAGGACTAAGGAGCTGACTCATCTCTGCAAGTGCTGAGCAAGCCTGGACTTTTCTCTCTCAAGTGCTAGAGAGGCTGAAAACTTGAATGCGGTTATGGATCAGTGTTATGGCTTCACAGCTACGAATTTCTGGGGCATCTTTGGTATTATTGAAATTTCTGTGCCAGCTTTCCTGATTAATAGAGTAAAGAGTCAACTCCCAAGGTTGCCTGCCAAATCTCCACTGGATTATAATGAAATGCTTCACAGATTGGGAAGGAGGATATTTTATCATAGAGAAAACCTAAGAGAGAGTGACTGTGAATATGGGTTACAAGTTATCAGAATCCAGTGTACAGTGGGCACGTTTCCTCCTAAATGAGAGGATACTTACTTGAGAGAAGAGTGATAAAAGGATATTGCATTCAACCTTGCAAGCTGACCTGCGGGTGACAAAGGACACAAACAAGAAAGGTGACATGTCATGTCTGTGACGTAGTCAAGCTGGTGAATTATTTGGTTGGAAGCCATGCAGAAAGACAGAGAGAGAAACAGAAATAGAGAGAGAGAGTCCAAGGAATGAAAGTGACTTTCTGGCCCATCCAACAACCATATGCTCATAGAGCAGTCAAGGAAAACCACTTCGACATTCTCCAGGGCATACATCTTGAGTGGGGACGCACAGGCCTGTTATCTCTCAGCCCTTTTCTTTGTCTTTCCCTTGAAGTCACTGGGTGTGGAAAGGAAAGGAGAGAGAGAAGGAGCTTAACATCTACCAGAGATGGCACGAACTCCAATCGGAGCTGATGCTGTTAATAGAATTTCCTTTCATTTTGGTCGTATCAGGTTAAATTCCTGAGTCATTAAAATAAATAAAAATCTAATATCTTATATGAAATCACTCACTTTCTTTTAAAAAAAAGTCTGGAATTTCATTTACTGTGGTCACCAAAATCCAGAAACTGATATGGGCTCAAATAGGGAGGTCTAATAGGCACCTCTAACAGCATGAACCAGAATATTGATTATTTCACCACCTCTCTCTCTCCCGCTATGCAGCAGAGCCAAATGAGATATGAGTAGGAATGCTATCCCTCAGAGTTCCCACGGACACCCTGGAGCTTCATCCAGACTAACTTCCTTCCGCGGATAGGCCATAGAAGTCGCAGAGAAAGAGCGTCCTCCCTGGTCTGCACTCAAGGCAACTTTGTTTCTGTAGCAGAAAAGTAAGGCTTTACGTATCTGGTCACTGTTTGTTTTGTTTATCTAGGCCCACATCTTAGTTGCTTCTGAAATGTGGCTGTTAAACTGAAAAGGCTAATGGAACATTCCAGAGAGGCAAAGCTTCTGTGTTATATTGTCAAGATGGGGTTGGTGGGCTTCCCTCTGGCTCTATTCTTCTTGGGAAGATATTTCCAAACAATCTATAAACATATGAGAAGGAGAAGATAATTTATTCTCTCTGCTTCTCTTTCCTTCACTAATAGAGAAAGAGAGGGCTACTGCCAACCTAAGACTGTGGAAGAAGCTTGTCTGGCCATCGGACAGAAAGCCTGACATGATAAAATAACCCCCGGGGTCTGGGAGGCAGCAGGTCTCAACGAGCCAAATACCCCTGAACTCCCAGAACCCCAACAAGACACAGGGAAGGGAAACATACAAGAAAAACAAACATGGCAGTAGAACAATCTCCATGGGGAAAATGCATCCCCTTAAGGATGAGTGGCTAATTACACTTATTCCCAATTGCATGTGTTATGTCCAGTGACTTCTCAGATGGATTAATATGCTCCAGTACATATGACAATCTGCCCAACCACACCCTGCTGAATGTGGACCTACAGTTCCCCTAACATTTCTTGGTGAGGTTTGTCACTCTTTCACTTCTTGACATTTGATATAAGGCAGGCAGTGAGGGAAGCTGAGGACAAATGAGGGAGGAGGTATATTTATGCTTAGTCAATTTCCTTGAGCCTTGTTCCCTGACAGTCATCCTACAGTATCCATGGGGGATTAGTTCCAGGACATCCCCACACAGCAGATACCAACATCCACAGATGCTCAAGTCCCTTATAGTTGAACCTCAGTATCCACAGATTCTGAATCTGTGGATATGGAGGGCCGACTGTATCTTTTCTTCAAAAGCATTTTCCTAATGATTTTGGAGGGTCATGGACCGTTAGTCACCATGTTTCCACTAATGTGGAAGGCCTCTTTTACTTTCCAACTCAGAATTCATAGGAATTCATGGTGAGTGACAGCTATAAGAAGTATTTAACATTTTTCCTGTCTCGAATTCATGGACTAAGGAGTTCAGTCAGAATATTCCAGAAAGGGAGTGTGGAAGGAAGGAGAAGGCACCGAATTTTGGAGTAATGTAAAAGACCCAGCTACTGAGGGGCTGGGGCAGGAGTGGTAAAGGATGTGGGCCAGCTCTTGGTACCTGGTAGGCTTCGTCCTGTAGCTTCTGTTTCAGGTATTCCTCCATCTTCAGCTCATTCTCCAGCTGCCGGACAGAGTCATCTTCATAGTTCTCGTCCTCTGGCCGCACATATGGGTCCCCATCTTCTGTAACCCTGGGAATCAACCACAGTGGGAGTTTCGGAGCAAATCTTAAAGGAAAGTATGAGTGGAATTCCTGTGTTAGCTGTAGTTCTGGGCACACATTTATTTAGTCCTTCAATTCACTTCTTTGCTTCAATTCACTTCAATTCTGTCTCTTCTTTGACATAATGAAAAAACTTTAAAAAAGCTTTGGAAGTTCGGAGAAATATATGATCAAGGTGTTCTCACAGACCATTTTTCTAGGGCAATCTGGTGACCACTGTCCTCTATGTTTTCCTAGGGTTAACAGGAATGAGCTGACCTTTAAATGTCTGTCCTTCTTAAAAAGCGTAGGCTTATCCTTTGAGAGAACATAGTTTTTCCAATTTGGGGGCTTAAAAAAAAATGGAATCCAAGAACACTTTCTATAAGGGAAGTAAGCCCTATAGTGAAATAATGATTAGGACATTTGTTCATAATTTAATGCTCTTTGTGTTATGCATGTATATAGGCATGTGCACCCATGTGCTTTATTCCTGTGGTAGAGTCAAGTCTCTCTCACCGAACAGCTAATCGATGTCAGGAAGACTAATACTCTAACCCGTAGCTCTTGATCTTCAAAATTTATACTAGCTCTGAACTGAAGAAATCCGGGCTTCCCTGGTGGCACAGTGTTGAGAGTCCGCCTGCCGATGCAGGGGACACGGGTTCGTGTCCCGGCCCGGGAAGATCCCACATGCCGTGGAGCGGCTGGGCCCGTGAGCCATGGCCACTGAGCCTGCGCGTCCGGAGCCTGTGCTCCGCAACGGGAGAGGCCACAACAGTGAGGGGCCCGCATACCGCAAAAAAAAAAAAAAAAAAAAAAAAAAGAAATCCATTTAAATTGTCCAATTCCACTATGAAATAAATAGATAAGAATGATCTCATTCACTAAATGTGTGACTCTCTCCATCTATTCATCCCAGTATATATAAAGCTCTTCCTGGGACTGAACATAAATTCACAACCTAAATCATATGACTAAAATATTCTCACGCTAAAACACAGTGCATGTTTAGATAGTACAGATATTAAAATATCCCCTAAAATGAAAAGAGTGGTGAAATAGAAGTTTCTGGGTTGGAACTTAAATGCCAATGTTCATGTTTATTTATATTTGTACGACATGTCCTCATTATTTTTAGAGGTTTGGGGTCAGCCTAAATAGGTCTACGAGGCCTCTATGAACTTTCCCTTCCCAAGCCCCACAGCCATGTTTGTAGCTGGTCCTGCCACCAGTGTACCAGGGACAGCAGATGGGGTGGCCTTAGTTACAGTTTTGGACCTTAGGATTGGATCAAGAAAATTTTAGGTAACCACCATGTAAATGCTTAATTATAAAAAAAATCAAATGGATTTGTATTTATCAGACTAAACTGATAATTAATTCACCAGTTTGAATAACAAACAAATCAAATAATTCTAAATTATAGAGGAAAGTTCAAGAAAGCAAACTGAAATTAAAAGCAGCAGCTTCCTGCTACGTAAAATTATAACTGTTTTGTTTTGATCTTATGCTCTGCCTTTTCACAGCTGGCTTTCAAACCATGTCTATTTATAATTCCCCATTATTACTGGCCTTTTACACACTGCTTGGATGGACAGCCAAAACACCAGAAAGGCCTCTGGTTAGTTTCTTCTCTGGGTCTTTAAAACAGACAGTTTATTTTTGTAGACTCATCTGCAGTTCTTCTCACATTAAGCACCATCACCCTTCTGTAGTTTTTTGTTTGAACTATTCATCAGTTCTCTTTTCCAGAATTTGGGTGAGCCCCTGCCCACATTTCTCAGAACTCCGCTTACTTCACTTCCTTCATTTTACCCTTTTCCCTCCCAAGCTGGGCTCTGCCGGTCTGTCCTAGCTTTTTGCCTTTGTTTCTCAGCTTTGGTTTTCTCTGCCTGACTGCTTTGAGCTGATCCAACGTCACAGAAGTTCTAGTGGCTACGTGAGTGATTATGCTGGCTCCTGTCAAGCTACAGAAGCCTAATTGGGTGAAAAATCTTTGCAAAATGTCTTTTGAAGGTCAGGCTTATACATATTTAATAATTCAAGTGAATTGGACTTCTTTATAATGAGACTTTATACATTTAGTTATTTCAATCACAAGTGCATATATGATGCTGTTTACACCCACTTTGAACAGAGACCTCTCTAGTATCACCAGGTCCTTTAAGAGCAAATCTAGTAAGTTCAGAAGATAGGATGATTTATCTCCTGAACTAGTCTATGAGTCCTGGGAGGGTGGGAGAGATTTTTGACACTATTTTGTATCCAATTAGCGCAGTGCCTTGGGCAAGCCAGGCTCTCAATAAGTCCTGGTTGGTTTTTGTTACTGATACTCTGGAAATTGTTAGGGGGAAAAGTCACAGTGACAAACTGAAATGTAGCACTCTTTTACCTCTTCTGGCAGGAAAGGAAACTGAACCATTCCTTTCCAAAATAAAGAAGTAAGCAACAATGTTTTTATTTTCCTATGCTCCCTGCAGAGTGTTCTGTTACTGAGAAAATACCCCCAAGCAGAAGATACTTACAGGTCGCCTCGCATGGCACTTGGGGTTGCTCCACTGTGAAGGTACCCGGGTTTTCGGGCATGGATTTGCGCTAGAAAAGCCTTTTCAGAGGTTGGTGATGGGACCAGATCTTCAAACTGAGTCCTTGCAAGTTCAGAATCCACATTACTCTCAGTTTCACTCCCCGTCTCTATTAGGTACAATTGAAGAAGTGAAGAATGACCTAGATTTTTTTATGATCGATCGGCAAATAAAGGGCTAGGCTTAACATTAACCAACCTATGCTGATTAAAACACTGACCAGTTATTGTACGTAAGTCAAGTATGTGTTCGTTTTTTCTCGAAATGAGAATTGATACTGACATGAATTACCACAATATCAGTTAGTATACAGTATTGTCTTTTTATCTCAATAATATTATAAGGAATCTTTGTCTTAATAACTGACTTAATTCTTGAAGCCATCTGTTTTTTCCCTCTATAAAAGTCTTCATTAAAACTGTTGTTACTTTTGCTTAATATTACTTTAATTTAGGAAACACCGACCTAAAATATTACATTCACTTAATATTTCAAAATATAAACTAATAGTCCTTGAAACGCCTACAATGAGAATAACATTTTTAGTCATCATTTGCTAGGGCAGTGAGTACATGCCATTAACCATGATGTATTAACTACTGTCATTCCCCCCCCCCCACAGTGTCATTTTTATCCTATTTGGTAATCTTAATCTAAAATAATAGCATTATTTTAATTCTAATTATCATTTTTCATTATTTTAATTCTAATTATAGAGGTTTTAAGAAATTTAATTAATTCTAATTATAGAGGTTTTAAGAAATTTAAATCCAGATTTTTTTTAACATTAAAGTTTTCTTTCTTATAGTTGTTGTAATCTCAACTATATATATGACCACAGTCCTTTCAAACAGATATCTTGCTAGGAGGGCTTTAAGGAATAGATGAGATGTACTAGTAACTGATAAGCTATTTATTTGCATCTTCACGCTGTTAAAGTTTTTAAAACTCTGTGTAGTAGTATTAGGATGAAGAGAGCTGCAATTTTATGCTATTTATTTTCTTCGCAGATCTTTCTTTAGTGATATTGCAAAGGTAAATTTCAGTTTCGCTTCTTTCAAATAGCCATGCATTCCAAATGAACAAGTCTAAGTTAGTAAATAAGACATTTGACCCTATAAAATAACTTTAGCACCATGTCACTTTGGGTCATGATATATTTAACAGTGGCTAACTTGGGATTCTGTATTTACAAGTCAATTTGAATATTTATTCTTTTCTGCATTTTTCAAACTTTGTGCATTGAGCATGTATTCATGATCTTCTCATTAGCAAAGTATAAACGGTACTAAAACAATCTAATATCCCAACAATATATCACATAGACCTTTAAAAAATCTTTTTATACTTGACAATGAGCAGCTCTCTAACAGAAGTTATGGGTCCTTCTGCAATGAGAAGACAAATGAGAACGGACAAGGGACTCACCAGAATTCAACTCTTTCACGAGAGAGGACATGGTGTTAGTGATCGAATCCGCTGCTACTAGTAAGTCATTCCGTAAATTTCTTCTTGAACCTTAAGAAAGAATGATAATGAAAAAAAATCAAAGCTCTCCTTTTCCCCAAATTTTTATGCTGTTTATCATTTCCATTGATATCCTAAAGCAAGAAAACGTCTAAGACTTCTCCTTTTCAGAAGTGCTTTGGTTCATTTCCTGAAAAAAATACATTGTGCTCAGGCCAGTGGCCTTTGATATAAGAAGACATGGCAACTGATGGGGATTCATATACTTTATTGTCCAAATTGGGACAATTTTACAAGTGAAAGGGGCGGTATTAATAACAAGACTGGGTGACCTGGCACAAACTGGGATGATCCAAGGTAAGCCAGCATGTGTGGTCATCCTTCAGAATCACCTCACAGATGAAAAGACTGGTTTTGCTACGAGAGCTGTGCCTTCCCAGCAGCTGCTACTGTTTCAGCCCTTACCTGGTGGCTGAGCACATCAGATTCTGATCTCCATCACCATAGCCTCTGTCTCCCATCAGGGCTCCCCAAGCTCCCCCTATCATTTCAGGTACCCCTTGGGAATGGGAACCCTGTGCACTGTATGTCCCCAGAGTTTGGAAAAGGGGTGAAGATTCTTGCTCCTGCTGCCAAGACGTGGGCAGAAGATGTATGCCTGGTACCCTGAACTGGAACTTAGACCATGTTTCTCTATGGTAGAGGAAGATTATTATGAGGTTTCCATCCCACTAAGGGTTAAAGTGTATTTGTGGGCTGGGCTGGGAGTGGGGCAAGGTGGATGTAGAACAGAGGGCCAAATTCATAATATCTTTGGAAAAAAGACTCAAGATTCCAAATATCTGACTTCCAGATGAATTTATGCAGGATGAGCTGGGGCTGCTTAGATAGGTCACATTTCATTGTGATTTCTTAGTAAGTAAAACTAAATAAGTAAAATAATAAACACATGTAAATTTAAGAAATCAAAGTAGTTAGATAAAACAATAATTATTACAGGAAATTCAAACTGATTTAATATACTGTAAATTTCGTTAAGATTTAGGGAAAGGACAGTTTTCCCTCTAAAAATTAAAAAAAGGAAATTATTTTGCATAACTTAAATTATATTTGTACAAATTTAATCATTTTCTTTTTCAGGAGAAAACGCCCTGTAATGGATCTTCCTTTTTCCCTCAGAACAGAAAATACATCATGCTCTCCCTTCAAAATGTAAGCTTTTATCCCCTATAAGCAGTGGATGAGAGCATCTTTTTCTTCAGTCTCCCTGGATGTTACTGATGTTAAACAATTTGTTTTGAATCTGCTAGGCAAAAGGTGATTTTTTTGATTAAAATTTGTATTTCTACAACTATTTGTGAGATTGAACATCTTTATTGGCTATTTGTTCTTCTGTCGGTTCCTATCCTTCACCTATTTTTGTTTTGGAAGTGTCTTTTTCTGACTGAGCTGTGTGTGCTTTAATATATAACTGAAATTATGAAACTTGTTTGCTACATATGCTGGAAATGTTTCCTCAAGTCTATTCTTTTGTCTTTTAACTGTTTATGTTTCTTTCTGGCTTAAAACTAGTAGTCGAATGTGTCGCTCTTTTCCTTAGATCTACATGTGAGGACCTGGGAGGATGTCCACGATATACCGCTAATTCAAGGGAGATGCAAATTCCAGACCAAAATGCAATGCATGATCGAATTTGTGTGAAAAAAGAAGAGTATATGTCCATAAAAGCACACTTAAACATAGATATTTATATATAAGTGAAACGTTGAGAAGGGCCAAGGTGTTAATAGTGTTTACTTCTAGGAATGAGGTTGGCAGGCTGAGGGTCGGCAGGAGGATTTCTTTTTTTCTAATTTTCTACTAATTTAAAAAGTGATGACAAGAAAAAGTTTTATAAAGTGTTAAAATATTTCCTAATGAATAAGATCACTTGCTTTGGGACCCCCCACTCCCACCCCGACACTCCGCAGTACATAAGCAGAAGAGGCAGCGGTGGGAGAACGCTCTTTGTTGCTGTTTGTCATCTCTTCTATTGACTGTGGAGGGCTAGCCTCGCAGCCCCGTAACACAGAGGCAATGATAACAACTCTTTAGGCCATCTGGAAAATGACTAAGCATCCTTCTTGATCGCCTCAGTGCTAAAGAGCTGGGATTGTTTACTCTCAATCTTGAGTTTGCTTTAATGTAAAGAGACGAAAGGAGGAAATATCTTTTGGAATTTTAAAATGGATTACATTTATAAAATTTCCTGGAATATTGCTGAAAGGATTTCCCTTCCCTTAATGAGCAAAGGCTCATAAAAAAACAGGGCAGGGCAAGAGAAGCCAAAAGAAGATAAGATGGTGAAGGGAAGAAAAGATTAGTGTAGGGAGTTTCTAAAAAGTCTTGCAGGCCCGGCTCTGGCACAAACTGTGGAATACACTAGAACATCCACGGTGAGGCTCTGGTAACTCTAGATCATGCAATCCTTGGTGACTTATTTGCAACAGAAAAGCAGAACACACACACACACACACACACACACACAAATAAAGCCACTTACTTTGTGCAAACGCCTCCTGTACGTCTCCCCCTACCCCTGTGAGAGAGTCCTGAGGCGTGTGGGTTGGGGTGGAGCAGGCGGAAGCTGACCGGACGGGCATGGGGATGGGCCTGCTGATGGTGTGGCTGGGGGAGGAGCGGGGAGAGCCTGCCCCCTGGGTCTGGAGAGACAATGCAAGTCATTAATTGTTTTCGCAAGAAGATGCCAAATGCCCTTCCCAGTGTCTCAGTCAAATGTTAAAGACAGTGACAATGAAATTCCAAAGTAGGTGGAAATCCTAGGTAATTAAGATGGTAATTCTCAACCTGAGTTGCAGGTGCAGATAATTTGGGACCTTACTGCACATGATCTGAAGTTTTGGTTACAAACTGAAAGCTATTAGTACTGCATTCATTGTTCTGTAATATAGGAGATGGTTGCCCATGTAATGAAGCTACTGTTAAGCAGTGATAATTACAAGGTGTGTTTATGTTCTCCTTGAAGGAAGCTCTATATAGAATAAAAAGACATTAGGAGAAAGTTTTAAATATAAACTCGGAGACTGTTTGGGATGGATGTGGTTTACATTCTTCCTAAACTTTCAACGCGTCTTGTCCTGCCATCATCTGTAGAGGATAATTTATAGTTCCAATCATGTCGTGTCATATTGCGTATGTTAAGTCTCAAATAAAGAATCAAATGAAGTGTAAACTGTTTAATCCCTGTTTTACAGTAAAAGTTGTCTTTGTCGAATTGCTCTGAGATTCAGGGATTCAAATGGGGAAGAGAAAAAAGAAGAACTGGTTTCTAATTTTGGGGTAATGTTTCCTGTAGGAATTGTCCTCTTCGCCTATGAAAAAGCAGTATTCTAGCAGCAAGAACAGTGGGATTTTAAAATGAGTAAAGAAAAAAGGAGAAAACAACTTCAAAGCCATTTATCTCCTCACTCCAGCCCTTGGCATGAAGTAATTCTGAGGCTGTCAAACCTTGAATTTCGCAGTCTTGGTTCTACAATGAGGTCTCTTGGAAACATTTTCTGTTTCAATAATTAGTTTACAAAGGAAGTAAAGTCAGCACGAATAAGAAAATGTAAGAAGTGCATATACAACAGATTAGGTATTCACATAAATTCCACTCCAGTCCACTGAGTCTGGCCAGGGAGAGTGAGGACTCTTCCACAGCAAGGCCCAGAGATTCATCATCACCCCATTCAAACCCCAGACATGCACCACCAGAGCCGTGCTCTGGAATATTCGATTTAGGTCTTTGCTATGGGTTCAGCTGCTTGCAGTTAAAACACACAACATCAATCCTGTAAAACGCCATGCTGTTAGCTTTCCAGGGCTCAGCATCACACATAAAAGTCAAATCTATAAGTTGAGAAAAATCCCGAATTAAAAATTAAGCAAAACAGAAAATAATTCATGTGATGCTGAGGATTCCACTCTCACTCGCAACAGTACCTTGGAGTGGCCTGTCGGGCCCAAGGAAGAGAAGTTTGCCTGCTTGTGATGCTTTGCAGCCCCTTGCCCCAGCCTGCTCCAGGATGGGTCTGGTTTCCCCCAGCAAACTTGGGCAGCTCAATGTCATTACCACGAAACCTCTGCTTCTGAGGTACCTGGGCATTTCCCTGCTTCCCACACCAATAAGTGACCTCATGTTTGAGTCGTGCTTTGCCATGTACACAAGGTTCTCATGTACATCCTCATGGGTTTCTCTCCATGACCCACTGAAGTAGGTCCCATTATGCTAAATGTGCGGTTATGGACCACAGTGCTCAGAGAGGTGAAAAGAATTGCCCAGGAGATGGAGCTAGAGTGTCCGAGCTGGGGCCTGAGCCCAGGTGGTCTGCCTGCCCTGGGGTGGGGGGACCTGCATGGGCTATGGCTGGTGACGGATCCTTCAAAGGAGACAGGTGTTGGTTAGGTACCCTGAGACCAAGTACCTCTCCCTGGCAACCCGTCCTGCACATCCTTTTCGAGACAGGGTCCTCAGCAGAGCTCCTTGCCCTTTCTCATCTGATCTTTTTACCAAGGAACCAGGTGCAGCTGGGAGGAGGGACTGGTGATGATGGGAAGTTGGACAGAGGGGTTGAAGGCAGAAGGCTCCTCTTGGCTACACAGGGTGGCTTACCTTCTCAGCCCTGGAAGCCAGATCCTCTTCTGCGATAGGAGATTCACAATAATGATAAAACTCCATTTTTGTATGTAATTTACAGTCTCTAAAGCACATTTACATACCTAGTTTTGTTTTATTCTCCCACTTAATCAGTGCTAGGAATGAGAGTAGCTTATATCTGAATAGCAATTGGCAGAGATTAGAAAGCATTTTAATCCCATCTACTTCACTTAATCCTCTCAACAACCATACAGAGGTATTATTACTCTCATTTTTCAGGTTAGCAAGCTAGAATCAGAGGTGATAACTACCCAAGGTCTCTGAGCTAGTGAAGGACAGAGATAAAATGGATCCCCAGACTTTAGGCTACAAGGCCAGGGCTTTCCCAGGGCACCACAGCTGCTCCTCAGAATTGTGGGCACCGTGACCAACCATCATATATTTCCATCTATGTTTCATAACATACTTTCACTAATAACCTGAAGACTCAGAAGGCGTAGGACACAGACTCACTAGGGAGTGGTGACGGAGCAGTGGCCTAGGGCTTTCTGCTGGGCCAGGCAGTACCTTCTAGTTACTGGGCCACGGAGAGCAGCGTGAGTGCCCAGGGTGGAGCAAGCAACCTTCAGGCTGGTTATCAGCCAGTACAGAAATACAGGTCCACAGTCTCTTATCTGCAAATGTGAAATCCAATGAAATCCAACACATGTTGCTTCATAATGAATGTGAGGCTACTTATGTGGTGTCTGCACTGTATTGCATTTCTAAAACCTCAAAGATTCTGAGTTCCGGAGCGTCTCTGGACCCAGTGATTTCAGATATGAGGCTGTGGGCCTGCTTTTCAATATTTGATGGCTGTGCTGGGGCTGTAGTATACGCCAGCCCTGCTCATACCTGTGCCACCAGGCTCTGCAGCATAGGGTGCTTGTGGGGTTCCCCCCTCCCCTTTGGGTACCGCACCGGCCCCACCTCTTCTTGCTTAACACCTTGTCTCCAAAGGCAACTTTTCCTACCCCTTTCTGCCTGTTTCCTGTCTTCAAAACTCCCATCAGTGGTCTTGTGTTAAGAGAAAAATAATGGACTGTGGTTACATGCTAAGGGAAAAACAATTGATGGAGTCTATATTACACCAATGTGTGAATGGCTAATAGCCACCATCTGCTAAATGAATCTCCAACTGGTGCAATTTCAAGCAGTCTGATTATATGAAGAATTTAGGTGGAAGATTCTACGCTAAAGTTAAGATTCACTGCATCTTTCCTACAACTTGTAACTCCCCAGTCATGACCAGTCTTTACCCAGACTTGGGGGTAGAACCCTGGCTCCCTGGGTGATCAGGGGCCCATCACCCTTTGTCAGGACACTGGCCAGTTTGATGCATAGTAGACTTATTGCTGGGAACACCATCTCTGTTCTTCCTTTCTGCTGTTCTTGCAGGACCACTAGGGAACGGCAGTTGCCTCTTGGCTTTGGGGTAGATTAGTGAAGATGTCACAGAGTTTCATTTTCACAGGTGTGGGCCCTATAGAATGGTGGCCTCTGGTCTGGTCATGAAGCATGGTTGTCGGCTAACAACTTTAGAAGAGTTAGAATGAATAATCTCTGCGAACATCCTTTCCTGGAAATTATCCGGTGATTAATGGAGCAAAGACTTAAGGGACAATGGTCCATGCAGATCAATATATAGATCTCAAATTCCCGAGAGGTGATTTATGGAGGAAGGAAAACATACATCATCCTTGGCAAATTTAAAATTGTTCTCTTCCTAGAGAATAAATGAAAAATTCATTTCTACCCTCCATTCTCTGAGTCCACTCAACCTGCTGTTGTATCAATTTTTTAAAAGTCTGACTAGATCCATAAATTTTCTGATTTTATTCCAGGAAGTATTTGGGTTTCCACTCAGCACCAGAAAGGAGGGATGCTTCAAGGAAAGTGCCAAATGTCTAATCGTGGAACCAGCACTGTCTGGAGAAATGGCAGAGCAGATGACCATGAGACAGGAGGAGGTGGTACTATGGACCCTCCCCCACCCAGGTACCCCGCTCCCCGAAAGTCAACCTCTCAGGTTTGGGGGAGAATGCAGTGTAGTCGGGCCTGGTTTTACGTAGCAGCCTGTTTAGCTACATTCAACCCTCTTTTCATCCTTTCTTCCAGTACACACTGACTGACTATCATCATAGGGCTTCTTGTGGGGATACAGATGAGGTGACTAATTCTGATTGGTCAGACAGGAGGCACCATTTGCCCTGGGTCTTATAGCAGAGATTTCCAGGCAGAAAAGAGCAAGTACTGGGCGGGGAGAGAAGAGCATTCCAGGGCTTGGAGTATCAAGGGCAAGGCGTGGGGAGTGTGAGGGGTACTGAAGACACACTGGGAAGGCCAGTGGGGTTGATGCAGAAGGTTCTCTGTGGGGAGTGGAGTGGGATGAGGCTGAGAAGGGGTGGAGTCAGGTTTGGGGGCCTCCAGTGTCATAAAAGGGGCTTAGTCTTTATCGTGAACTAGAGCGTCATTTTCTAAGGCTTTTAAGCACAGAAGCAATTTTTACTTTTCTAGAATTAGATAAACAACTCCTAATTTAAAAGAAGTATGGGGCTTCCCTGGTGGCGCAGTGGTTGAGAGCCCGCCTGCCGATGCAGGGGACGCGGGTTCGTGCCCCGGTCCGGGAGGATCCCACGTGCCG